CCCGCCGGCCCACAGCCACCTCCTTGCAGATGGCCGTCCTCCCGCTGCACCGCGGCTGCTGGTAGGTCTTGGGCAGCGCCCGGTAGCTGGAGCCGATGCGCTTGCAGGACGCATAGTCGATCTCACGGCTCATGCCGTCCCCGGGGCGCTCGCTTAGCGGCGGCGCGAACGACAGCTCCTTCACCCCCAGGAAGGACTTGAACTGTGCGAAGAGCTCCGGGAACTTCCTAAGACACGGCGCAGCTGCAGGCCAGGCTCCGAGCCACAGCGGAGCCCAGGCAGGGCTCTGCGCCAACTGCCCCGCGTGGGCTGCCTTGTGCTCCCGCGGCGACGCCATGGGGCTCCCTTGTGCACCCTGTGACACTTCTTTGTGCGGTGGGGACAAGACTGTGACCCAGCATAGCAGAAGCTGGGAGGGAAGGCGCTTGGGCTAAGCAGCGGCCCAGCGTCTGAATGGGAACATCCTACATGAGCAGCCGCCAACTCTGCCTGCCCACGCCTCTCATGACCACGGGGCTGCTGGGGAGCTGCCCTTGCCGCTGCTGCCCGTCACCAGCACGGAGACAACTCTAAACCCGCCCCTCCACCCTGGGGTGCCACTCACCCCAGGAATGGGCTGACAAGCTGCAGGAGCTCAGCGCCCGACACCAGCTCCTGGTTGAAGAGTGCAATACAGCGCAGGAAGTTCTCGTACACCTCCTGGCTCTTCAGCACCCGGCGCACCTGTGGGCCAGCACAGCACATTGGGGCTGCAGGCACCCAGCCATCACGGCTGCTATCTGCCCTACCCTGCCTGCGTCCTCGCGCCCCACCCAGGAACTGAGCTCCGCCCCACTCAGGCCCGAGGGGAGGGGACACGCCCCACCTTGTCAAAGAAGGAGAACTCCTGCAGCGTGCCGTACTTGCCCACAGCGGCCAGCGATAGGTCCTTGGTCCCCCGCAGCTTCACCTTCTTCTGCGGAGAGAGTCTGTGGGTGAGCGCGGCGAGCGGAGTGCAGCCCCC